AAACAACATAAAATCATATTCTCAAATCAATCAATAGCATTAGTAAAATGTTTTGTTTAGAAAAAATTGGATTCTTCAAATATTCTGATATTCTGAAAAACGAATTGACTCGCTAATTATTCGCTCCCCTCGTAGATGTGTAACAAACTTGTCGGGATATTAATCGATATTGGTAACCGAAACACGTGCAAGTGCAACCGATATTGCCGTGTATATTTTACGTTTTTACTGCGGACCACCATGGTAAAGGCGCCCCGCGGCGGCCGCCAAATTATGATGAATTGTTTTCTCTATTAACAACTTGTGCCGACAGAGGAGAGACGCGAGCACCCCAACCGAGATAATCTTCCACCAATTTCGACTTCCTGATTGATCATGGCAATTCATCGGTTCATTCGAACGGTTCGTCCGAGACGAACGAGCGGGATCATCTTTCTATTCGAGGCCTTTCCTTATCGCAAATTTCAAAAATATTTTTTGATATTGAGTTTACAATAGAAAATCAAACTCATATTTTTGTTTCAATTTTCAAATATGAATCATTGCGATAATTTATCCAAAGATAAACCAACTCAAACGGAACTGAGCAAATAAAAAGAATTAAAAAAATGATTACTTGCATATTTTGTGTCAAAAACAATGCTTGAATAAATAAGAACATTGTTACAAGAATCTGTACGATCTGTACGATTATTTTTTATAGATGATCGCTGCAATATGCATCTACTGTATTTTTGATTAATTGTAAAACAATTTTTCTAAACATTTTCTTATTTATATACATAATTATATATGTTTGATATTAAGCTTATGTGCACATTTTAATAATAAATAAATAATAATCACACATACGCGTCACATTATAAAAATTGTGCATTATTATGTTTGCTAATCGTTTAAGATAATTCAATCTGACTGGTTAGTTTATTTTTTATCAATATCAACACACTAATTTTAGCAAATGTAAATGACATTTTAAACTATTTTATATCAAATATATTATTCTTTAAAGGAAGAGTAATATAATTAAAGTTTTGCTATAATTCAAACTATAAATTATAAATTAAATAATAGCTAAAAATTGTTCAGATTATTACAAAAACCAAAACTTTACTAAACATTATAATTAAAAAGAAGAAGATATATTATACCGATACTTTTTTGATCACTATATAAGAATTTTTTTTATAAGATAGAGATATATGATTGTCAAAAGTGGTTTTACAACTGTGTAGTAAGTATTGGCGAACGAAAAAACAGAAAAGATAATATCAATATTTTGTATAATATTATACAAGCATTATATTGAATAAATCCACTTACCGATTGTTGCACCTTAGCTAAATATGCTTTTTGCTGTTACCTAGAAAAATTATAATATCATATACTTTAGTTATTATATTATATATAAATGTTTTAAAACATAATTACATAATATAAATTGTATGAATAATTCAACAAATATTCTTAAATATCTCGTTATAAATATTTGATCAATAGAAATTGCAGTTAAGTATCTATTACGTATTGTCATATAATTATGTACATATTTAAATAATGAATAAATTATTGTACATACCAGCTAAGGTGTTACAAATTTGTTCATCTCGTTGCAGATTCCGTCTTATATTGCTCCACATAAAGTCCAGAAGAGTTGATGAATATCAGAAATTTGCACATTGTTATGCGTATTATTAAACAAAAATCACAAGAATTTACATCGCAAATTTGCTATATCACGTTACATGTAAATGCGAGACAAATAAACACGACGCGTCCACGCAGGTAATTGAAATTATATTATCACATCTCACTTTTGACAATATATTAAATATTATACACGCATCAAAGCGAGATAGACAATAATTATTTTGATGATTATACAAAGACCAAATCAGATACACGCTCATGACAATTGTATTTTAATCAATTTAATTCTAATAAATTAAATTTTGATTAGGTTATGTTAAAGGTTAAAGAAAAATATATTATATATATAAGAATCATTTTTGCATGACTTAGATATTGGAATTTGCACTCACTGAAACTGTGTGTTGGTAATAATTCAATGCATTGTACAATTCGTCCGATCGTTAAACAATGGGCAAAACATTGCTAACAACGAATATGCTCAAGTAATGTAAATATTTTTGCATTTCCAATAAATAATATGTTCCGGTACTTGCATGATACTTTATATATATACACTCACCCGAAAAAAAAGCGGTACACTGAAAATGTGGGAAAAATTCATCAAATTTCAACTGACGATAACTTCGTAAATAATAAAGATAGAAAGTTCTATAAAATATGGAAATGAAGCTAAAAATCTCTACTTTAAGAATCAATTTATTTCAATGTTGCAAAATAAATTTATTGAAAATGGCGGATGACAAAGCGCGAGCATGCAAAATTGAAAAATAATGGTTTGAGTTTGCGACGGTGCACGGTATAAACAAAAAATTGTAGCTTATTGGGATCAAAAGCGTACGAAAGTACAGAGTCTCCTCTTTAAAATGCTTTTTTATGCATCTTGATACGATGATTTTTCGCCGAGAGATTCGCATTTGAAGAA